GCTAAATTCAAAGGAGGGCGAATCCATTACACAAGTTCATTGACTGAGGGTTAAGTATCTCTTCTGATTGGTCGTAAATATTTCAATTTGTTTGCCATTAATTTCATTACCTTCTTCATCAGCTAAATCTCTAATTTTGTTTATATGGAACACTTTGCCAAGCTCTTTAACCATTATCAGAAGCACATGAAATCTCCCTGGAATTAGTTTCGGATCTGACTTATATTTAAATGTGGGCGGGTGCGTATTACTCAGATTGCTTTTAACTCTATCAATGAAGATAATTATTTATGTGCCCTCTCTTTGAAATGATTATACCTATCGATGTAATTAATAACATCGTTAAATTCAGATGTTAGTTGCGTTAAAGCGCTTTGGTAGTCCTTTGTGCTGGAAATTCGAAACTAATTCTGTAAAGCTAATTTTAAAATCTCGCGTGCGGTTTTGTTGGTAGCCATGATGTTTTATTATATAATACAGACGTTATCGTTCTGCATTTTCGGCGACGCCCGATTTTATGATTACTGTTCAGAGAGAAATTGTGTTCTATTTTTAGTTTCGAATTATACTGTCTAGTGTTGTAGTATATAGTATTATTATTACTATTATTTTTGAAAATTTCGTTTTTCATTCCTGACAAGCTGCCAGAAATAACAATAATAAAAACGTGCCTATGCGAACAAATTTAAAAGCATAATTTCATCATGATAATTGTATTGTTGTTGGAAGATAATTTGCATCACGCCTTCGTTTATTTTTCCATGGGAGTTGGCTTTTGTTCTTTGTTGTTTAAAAAGCAACTGAAATTGGCAGGATTTTATGGGCAGACTTCAAGAAGAACAGTTCGATGCAAACCCCCCCCCATTAAAATTGTATGAAATTTCTGAGTGTTGGCGGAATTCTGTAATAATATGAATTTTAGTATATGCAAATTAATTTTAGTTCGATTGTGTTGGAAGTTATTCCCTGCGGTCTGGAGACCGCAGGGTATTGGTACGCGTTTAACTTTTGAGGCATGGAGGAGCACGTGACCTGTTTTCGGTACATGGAGGAGCATGTGATCTGTAAACCGTATATGATTGGTTAATTGACCTTTTCGAAAACCCAGCTAAATACCGTTTGCCGGTACGTTACGGATTTACCTGTAAGGAATTAGTCCGAATTATACCTAATTGAGAAAAAAAAATAATTACCTGATATTTCTAATTTTCTATAATTATTTTACCGTTTAAGGTGGAAAAACTTGAATGATGTGTTTGAAAATTATCAATGTTTCTTTAATATCTATCTCAAATTTTACAAACAATAAATTGTTTAAACTGAAAATCTACAAAATTAAAATATTCGTAGTGGCATCTGCCATCATAAATAGAGATATTTTCTGCGTAAACTTGTGTGTTTACTTTATTTACTTTTTGCTCGGAATTATTCATAAAATGGTAGGCCTATTTAATCATTTTCTTAAAAAGAAATAATTGTTTTATGTTCGACCTTCTCCGGTCTTCAACGGTCACCAGTTTCCAAAGACCTTCTTCTATATTGATCGATTATTGTCAACTATATTCCTGATACAAACGTTTATTTACCCCTCCCCCAAATAATGTTGAAAATAGTTAAATGAAATATCTTAATATCATTAAAATGTTCACCGCAGGAAACCATTTTACTTGTAAACTTATTGAATGAAACACTCTCGAATCTTTCTTGGAACCAACCAGTAGTAAGCAATGAATGTAAAGTTTCTTGCTCAAGGAAACAGGGTTTGAACCTACGTGGTCAGGAATCCTTAGATTAGACTATAGTCCGACGCGTTAACCGCCCGGCCACACTTCCATGCACTAAAATAATAATTATCCCCCGCCGAAAAATTTCGGCGGAGGATATAGAAATAGTCTCTGTCCATCCGACCTTCCGTCCGACATTTTTGTCCGGAGCTTTTCTCAAAAAGTATTTGAGGTATCAACTTGAAACTTCAAAGGTGGATGGATCTCATTGAGGAGGAGTGCAGTGCTTAAGAATGATAACTCTACCCTGCATTATTTTTGAGTTATTGCCCTTTGTTATTTTTCAAAATTAATTTTTGTCCAGAGCATAACTCAAAAAGCCTTTGAGATATCAAAGTGAAACTTCATAGGTGCATAGATCTCACTCAGGAGGTGTGCACTGCACAAGAATGATAACTGTACCTTTTATAATTTTTGAGTTATTGCCCTTTGTTCTTTTTCATACTTAATTTTTCAATTCAATTTTTTTCTCAAAAAGTATTTGAGGTATCAACTTGAAACTTCATAGGTGGATAGATTTTACTGAGGAGGGATGCAGCACACAAGAATGATAACCTACCCTGCATTATTTTTCAGTAATTGCCCTTTGTTATTTTCAGCCATCAGTATTCACATAGGTTTCAAATCTGTAATCACTATAGCCATCAGTTTTCATTACCAAAAGACCTCTTAAAATGGAATTATTCCGCTCTACTACATATACATTCTTCCAATGAGCAAACACATTCATCGGGGGATGGCCATGTTGACATGGCTCTTGTTTAATGATAATGATAATAATAATATGAATTTTGATTTCTTTAATTTGATAAAATATAATCAATATTATTATATTTATTAGAGACTAATTGCCCTTTTCCATTATAGACCAATTATAAATGTACCATCTAGGAATAATGAAATAAAAACACTAAACGTTCGAACATACATGTACACTGAATAAACATAAGGGTAAAATACGATCTTTATCAAACGAAAGTATTTTGTTTACATGTTTATGTTTACTTTTTTTCTAAGATTTAAAAAAAACCGTGGACGCCATCTCCGTTTGAATGTATCCTTCACAGCTTGACATTTTTTAGCATTTCTTTATCCGTACAACATCATTCAATGAAAAGTCAAATGACGTAAGCATAAAACTAATTTTACTAAAGTGAAGTGTCATTTATTTAGTTCAATATCAAAGTGTTTTTGTTTGTTTATTCTTATTAACATAAAAGAAATGTATTAAATTTACAGAATTGTAACGATGTCATTTATCAAAAAGAGGTTTATTATTCCAATTATCTAATGATATATAGTAATGAATTATATAAATATGTTTATTTCAAATAAAGGATGCTGCTGTATTATAAATTCGTTTTAAAGATCCTTGACATGTTAAAAGTCGTATACATACGATTACACAGGGCATTTTTATGCTTCCCGAAGGGTTAGCATATAGTCTTTGGCCGTCCGTCTGTCCGTTCGTCCGCTTTTTCTTGTCCGGGACATTAATAGATGTGCGCATGACATGCATGTATATAACCCCATGTGTATTGCCTAATTCTTCAAATAGTGACTGACCCCTTACCTATGCTTATGACCAATTTCGCCTCGCTCTCATTTCTTTCACTTTCGATTTCGTTAAAGATATTTATTTGCGCTACAGTTCTCTGATAAGACGTTTAGCTAATAAAGTAAATAATGAATGGTCTAACTTTAAAATCGCTATAACCTTAATTACCACTAAATTGGAAGACTGATTAAATTTTGGGCAATTAGGTAAACATTTCTGTCATGTTTTTTTACAGTATATTTTGTTTTTATTTACATCACGTGACCTTGATAATATGTCATTTTAATTAGGGTGTAATGCGGTTAAACCTAATGTTAGTGTAATGTCAAGATTATTACCGATAGGTTGATAAAAAATAATTACCGTATTTACCATGTAATGCGCAACGTATTATTAAACGTTTAGTATTATTTTGCGATTATGACATCTAAGGCGTTCCATAACACCAAACAATAGAGCAGAGCAGAACATAATATTTATATTTCTTTTTTTTCGGACTGGAGCATAGCTCCTCGTCCACAAAAAATAATGATTACTATACATAATCAAAACGCAAAGTAAGCAGATCTTACATGCACAATACTGTAGAGAGATTCAAAATAAAGAGACACATAATATATATCACATATATACCACATATATATCACAAAATATATGTAAGTTATATAAGAGAGTGATCGAATAATAAAACAAGATGAATTATTTAAAGTTCGGCTATTTTGAGTGTAGTGTGTGCATGTTAGGCATTTCATAAAAATAACTGTCTATTTATCTTTCCCGTAAAACATTGTATTTCACACATATAAGCATAAAATGATATTCGTCTTCAATGTCTCTAACTGAACAGACTTCACATAGTCTATAACCGCGATCTATTCTTTGTCTACATGGTGCACATATAAAAACAATTTATATAAATCGCAAAATAACCTTTTCAACTTTGCTATACTGATGCAAACTTCATCTGATAATAAAAACCACATGCTTGTGAAGCAGGAAGAATGGACATAGACTGTTGACTTTGATTATTTTTAATGTCGAACTTTTACAAACTTTTACAATATCTTGAAAGAAAACATTTTACGTAGTCAGAACTTCATGTAGGACTGCAAGGGGAATGGAAATCATTTCCCATTCGAGATGTTATTGTCATGAAATTTGGAGTCTATAGAAGTCAAAAAGTGCCACTTAAGCAGATCCGATTTAGTACGCTGATATAAATGTCCGTATAAGATACTGTTTTGTGTTTGGAAATCTTTAAATATTTCAAATATTTACGATACAAAACTATGTGCAATTTTTATGATGTTGGCGAAATGGAAATAATTTCCGTAATTGTAGATACCGTACGATATGTACCGTATTTACCGTGTTAAACTGTCAGAATTTGGCTTTTCTGCTGAATGGAAAACATATACAATTTTCCGTGTGTGCCATATGAAATCGTCAGAATTTGATACTGTATGATGAAAAAGAAAACATTTACCGTGTAAACCATATAAAATAATGTCAGAAATGTGTAAAGTATGTGTTAATTACTAAAAATAAATACCATATATATGATGTTAAAACCTTAAAACCATGTTGTTGTTGTTGTTTTTTGGTTTATTTCAATGTTTATTTTTAGTATACCTAACATTTTTATGTCCTCATTTCAGGTTAATAACAACGGTATCATAACATTTCGGAAAGAGTTGAAAACATACAAGCCCGTGAACTTCAACACGAAGGAATTTAAAGAAGAAACACCTATTGTTGCCCCATTTTGGGCTGACGTGGACATAGAAAACTTCAGAGACGTTAATTTAGGTGAATGCGTTGTGTTTCGTGTTACAGACGACACTGAGTTATTGAACAATATTACCGAAGACGTTCGGGAACATTTCACTGGACAAAACAATTTTTCTGCGAAACTAATGATCATTGTGACTTGGTATAACGTTGGATTTTACGGGGCTGCTAGAGAAGGAAAATACAAAGTAAGTACATGTGCTTAAAGGCTTTAATAGAAAGAGGCACAGTAGGTATATAACTTCCGTCAAAGGCCGGTTTGACCTAGACTTTAACTTAGTACTATTACATAAAAAAATACATTATAAAAAAACAACATTTGTCCTTCAAAAAATAGACCAGTGTTTTGGAAAAAAGATGGCAGTAAAGTATAATTTGATTGAATTTTAAACTTCTCACTGTAATTTGATTTGCTACGTCTATAAAGGGGGTAGCAAAGAGGGTCCACTGTGTAGGATTTTGGAATTTCAAGTGCACCCTTTTTATCATATAACGTATTTTTTTGTGTGTATTTTAGTTTATTTATACTGGCCACCGGTTTCCCATATGGGCGAGTCCTACACTTCACTTCAGTGTTGTTATATTTTCTGGTCCTTCAGGATCATTGGTGCCAACACTATAAAGTGTTGAGAATTGAGTACCGCTCAAGCCGGTGCTAGGGGGCGTGAGGGATGTTGCACTTATTCATTATCCCTCATGTACAGACTCAATCAAACCGAGTCTGCAATTCTTACGTTATTATGTTGTGATTAATGTTTCCGAGGGATCACTTTGTTTCCAGAACTTTCTACAGAGTATAAGTCATTTTAGATTTGGGAGGATATTGCAAGATAAAGATACAGAAAGATGCTCCAATTTCAGAAGCTTCTCCTGCCAAGTTTTAAAGCACTCGTATATGGGACCTCGAAAGACTGGTTACCAATTTTTAGTTGGCCAGCTCGGGAATCGAACCCACATTGAATGTCGAGATTTCAATTCTCGCGCTCTTTAAGATTGAGCTATTTAGGCTGGCTAAAACGTATATTTTCAATACAGTCTCGGATGCCTTAACTAATCAGTTTCAATGACGAAAATGAAAGTTTAAATTTTGTGCGGCAAAAAGCACTTAAGATACCAGTTATTTTGCGTGAAAAGATACGTCAAAATGTTTGTTAAAACACCTGGTAATACAGCAGTAAATAATATAAAAATCAAACTGCAACAATAGGAATCTCTTCTATGAAATTCCAAACCTTTCGGTTAAACTTACCGTGCATACACGTGCGTGCGCTGTCATACATTAACAAGGAGTTTTGTTTGTACTTTGGAACGCTCTGATGGCGTTTGCCTAGAAACAGTTGATAGCTTGAAATACTTCAGATAATGAATAATCATCGAGGTGTTCCAATTGTTGTTCAGGTTAATAAAGACGCTTGCACCGCGTTCCGCTAACATACGCAACCCTATGTGTCATCCTCCCAATAAATCATATGGGGAAGTCCAAAATTCGCGGTCCCGGGCTATGGCTTGCCCTGCTATAGACTTACACGTGTATATTTAAAAGGAAATCAAGTATAAAAGAATTAAGAATATATAGAATTTTATACTTATCAATTAAATTTTCAGTGTCAGTTCTAGTTGGGCGCCGCCATTTTCAATGTCACCCAATGATTATTGCCGGTGTATTCCGACAACGGAAAAATCGCAACTTTTGGGCTTTAGAAAAATAGTTGAGGTGTTCCGATTGAAAACGGAAGCGGTGCATGAAATTTCGAATGACACCTTATGTTCAACGAAAATTGTAAATAAAAATGAACGAATTTTTTTTATCTGACTTCCCCGTTCATAGATTTTGCTTACTTTCATATTATATATAAAACATGGAAGAACTCATTGTCCCTGTCTAAATTCTTCAAAAGGCAGATGGTCCTTTAGTCGCACAAGACTGGTTATTGATATGTTTGTGGTGAGTTCTGAGCAAGATAAATTGGAAACTGTCAAACTTCATACTTGCCAAAGAAAGTTCTGTTATCCCTTTTGTTATTTATACACGCTTTTAGACGCAGTTTAGTAAATTACATCTATTAGCGTTTTCCAGAAACGCTAAGAATCGCTGTTCATTTCCCTGAGCAATACTGTTCACAAGCTAATTTGAGTTTCGCACATTCTATATAAAGGTAATCCGACAAGAACTCTTTACTTTTTGAAGTATTTTTTCGTCCATTTTGTTATCACGTGGTATTTAAATTACCCATTATGATTGGCTTAGGGCAGGCGGCGGTTAATCGCAATTTTTCGGCCTTTTCCGTCAAACCTCGGTTAATTTGGTAATCGGCGAGATGTTCCGAATGGTATCGTCTGATGTCACGTAAATTTTTGACAATTGCTCGGTACATACAAACAAACTTCCTTTTAGCCGGAAAAAAGTTTGATTTCCCTCCCACATGCATGCTGTACATTTTGAATACTTGTTGCGCATTGCTCTTTTGGAGCAATTTGATATAAAACTAAAAGATAAAAATAATTCTAAAATTAGGTACGGACAATGGTTAATGCTTGAAAGAAAAAATGTTTTGAATATTATGTGTAAAGTGCGCATTAAATTCAATCAGTCGAACTTTTCTCTTCTTTTTTTCAGAGAAACACATTTCAAGCTGTGTTGGCAACAAACGGGGTAAAGTCATTCGCTGTCTTTAATTACAACAATATTACTTGGACAACAGGATCGAACAGCGGTGGTGAAACAAACACAGGATTGTCAGGCGAAGCTCCAGCCGTTGTAAGTCTTCTTTAAACTCGATAATTTCCGTTCGTTTCCGTACCCTTTCTTCCCTAATCCCTCAACTTTTGTTGTGTACAATGTAAAACGTGAATCTTTTACGTTGATGCTTCATCTATTTATCTTTTTTTTATTTTAAATGAATAAATCTTAAAAGTGTCATGGCCTCGCACGGATGATTATAAAGCCTATGATATAATAACAACGAGTATGAATTATGATTAACAGCGCATTCCATTATAAATAATGCTTTATATATAATGTTTATAGTTTATGCGCTCCGTCGCCTTTTTTTCTAAAACCTTAACAATGCAAGCAATGCGTGTATTTACATCTTAATTCATCTAGAAATGAAAAGTCGACAACGCCCTTCGTTCATAAAACGCAAGGTCTGTTGCAGGGGAAAAACATATGCAAATCTCGAATACTACTTAGTTTCTGAACTGTTTTTTTTTATTTCTTAAAATTTATTTGATGCTGATTATCTGAATGGGTACTGACGTCACACTAATTGAGCCTTTTTGTCAAGTTTTTGATGCGTCAGCATGTTATGAATTAGATCAACAGTGAAAGAAGGTGCCCCCTTTAATCTGAATGTCAATAAATTATTTTGCTGATATTTCATAATATAATCATCTAAAGGAAGGAGGGAAAGGTCTTTAATGAATTGATTAAATTGACAGGTGGAGGGCTCGATTACAGATACGTGTTTTCAATACGAAAAATCAAGTGAAGTTTACATCATATGAGCCGCGCCATGACAAAACCATCATAATGCGTTTGCGACCAGAATGGATCCAGACCAACCTGCGCATTCGCGCAGTCTGATCAGGATCCATGCTGTTCGCTTACAAACCCTATAACAACATTGACAGCGAACAGCATGGATCCTGATCAGACTGCGCGGATGCGCAGGCTGGTCTGGATCCATGCTGGTCGCAAACCCATTATGTTGGTATTGTCATGACGCGGCTCATATAATTTTTGGATTTAACTCATTACAGGACTTGAGCAGTACCTCTAGACGCTTGCAGAAATCATGCTCACAAAATAGACAAATATCGTTTTTTTCCGCAAATTATTACATTTTTTTATTCATAATCATATGAAAGGTGAATTAGACCATAAGATTTTAGGATTATATCATTTAAGCGCCTTGTCCGGTATATACCGAATACGGTATTTAGTGTGGTGATCCAATGTTTCTAGCTTATGTTAATGGGGTATCGCGAAATAAAGATTTCACCAAACATATATTGAATTAACTTTTTTTGCATTATACAATGACTTTGAGTTTACGTGCGGGTATTCAAAAATGAAAGTTTTTGTCATATTAGCATAGATCTATAAGTTCAAGACTTGGAAAAATTTCAAACATTTTTTATCACTTTACTTTAATTTCTCACCAAACTGATTTATTTTATTTGAAAAAGATGTTTTATTGCCATCTGTTATAATTTTAAGAACTAGCTCTGTTATGTTATGTCCGAATACTCGGTCACTTAGCATTAAGCAGCAGCACATGCAATCGGTACTCCTCTTCTATTATTGTCTGATAAAAATCAAAGAAGCGTCTAAATAAATAGGAACAATAAAATTCCTAGTCACCCTGTATACTCTTGCGACAGATAAAATAAGCGGAAAAGATATAATAAGCGGAAAATGACTATATTTGTCGATTTTATTTGTTCTATTGACGGGCGTTGTAACCTCAAACAAGCAGTCCGTGAAAATTGATATATGTACATGCACGAAGCGTGTTAAGGCGGATCCCGGAGTTGTGTTTTTCTTTTCTGCCCTGGTGATTTTACTTCACTAAATCATTACTAAGCAGAGTCACTGCGACTATGTACATCATATAGTAAAATGAATAATGTACCGATACAAAAAAAGAAAGAAAAAGAAATGATATTTTGAGCGATAGGCTGTGTTACTTTTTAATACAAATATGTTAACTGCATAACTGCAAGATTTTAATGACATGATTGTATTAAATTTACTTTTCATTTACGTGTTTCATTCACCGCATAAATGAAATTTGAATACTAGTCTAATATTTGCCTCTGAAATAGCAAGGGACTTTGACGTAGATTTTAAAGCTCCTTAAAATGCTCCTCTTGTGGGAACATTGGCCCCGCCTTTTGTGGGGGGACAGCAACACTAAATATGACATTTCAGGGTGGTGAACGAGCGTGCGCAAGGGAACCTTCAATAAAAACGCATAACTCAAAGGACCCAACTAATTGGCGTTGCGATTTTTGCGTCTATATTACGATGACGCATGTTTGAACTGTCTTTCTTCTGTATGCATGTTACCGTGCGCATGCATACGCATCAAAAGAAAAGAAGCAGTGATGCGTTTTTTGCTCGTTTTAATTGCATATTAAACATGTGTATAGGAATATTATCAAAATGTTGATCATATAAAAGGGAAACGCCCTTCCTTAAATATATTTAAAACAAGAGAACATGAGATAGAAAAAGCCCATTCAGACATTTAGCGGAGGAAAGATACCATCATAATACTCGCATATCATCGCATTTTACTGTCTGTGTTTTTATTGGTGGAAATGTTTTTGTTGGAAGGGTGTAACGTTGATTTAGATAATAGCTAAAACATTTTAAACGTACTTTAAATGTTGTTTTTTTTTTCTCTCCCTTTTTTGTTTTTTTTTGCTGGTATTGTATACTAGTATATGCGTTTGAGATACACGTTTTTAACCGAGATTGAGACCGAATTTATTTTATTTTTGCAATTATTCGATTCAGTAAATCACATTTGTAAAGAAATATGCTAAGTTATGTTTAGTAAGAAAAAAACCACACTAGTGACATTAGTTAGTTTTTTTTATATGTAAAATAAAATATAATTTTGGTGCGTACGCAATAAATGCGCAGTAAATCTATTAAATGTGAACATACTATGCGCTTTAAAAAAATTATCCGAAAAAGGATCTTGTCACACTCCAGGTGTCTTTTGCCTTTTACGAAATGCATCGAATTTTTTTTTCTTTTTCGTAATTGGATTTCAGTATCATTGAAAATATTTGTTGATGTTGTTATTTGGCAACATTTTTGTTGGTCCGCTCATATGTCTTCAATTTGGCTAAAAATATGTATGCACAATATTAACAAGGATCATCGCAACGGTATATACTATAGTCGATTTTAACACTGATACAACAATAGTGGAAAAACAGGTATTTTAATGACCAGAATCATAATGAAGGCCACGCCCTCTTATAGTAGAATTTCCTATAAATTTCTCCCGCATTGTGAGGTAGACCCTACATACCCCCGCTCGCCATTATTGCGTCAAAACAAAAGCCGTGTATTGACCCGGCAGTGTGGGTTCAGACAGTTCTCATGGTTAACAATGCTTGCCTTTCTATCACCCGCACTCACCTGAAGATAGACTATGATTTGGTTTCATAGTTTTATGTTTCATATTTGTTACTTAAACGATGAATTTCATTGATAAAAATACAGCTATATAAAGTACATTTTTTCTTCTTTTCCATAGGTCGGGTTTTCCTCAGGAGATCTGGAACAGTATTATTTATACGAAGACTCCGGTACGGACAGAATTGTCAATATTAGCGAGAAAAGCAACATTGGTGTACCCGGAAAATTCATATTCCGTCTTGACGGCCAAGTTGATGATCATAGCTGCTTTAATAGTGGTAAGTAAAATTCAGAACAAGTTTTTTTTCGGTATAACCGTAGCTCGATATCAGCATATTTCGACATAAAAGTCATTTCGACAGAAAACATTTCTTCGACATAAGTACGTATATTCTGACGTAAGCATATTTTTTGACAACAAAAATGTATGCTACGGCATCAGTATATTTCGACATAAAAACATTTGAATAAAAGTATGTTTCACCATTCTTAAATGTTTATAATTCTGTCTAATATTTCCTTTGTTGTAGTCCGTTCCGTACACTAGATGATTAATTTTAAGCGAACAATACGGGTTTTAAACAAGTTTTATTACTTGCGGTAAACTATTACTGAAGATTTTAATATTACCGACTAGGAAAGTGAACCTCATTTACTATCTAAATACAGTTTTCTTTTAATGCCGATTAGTGTTTTATGCTTGCAGACTATCTTGAAATCGAGTGTTCTATAAATAGACACATTGATGTTTTATAAATAGACGCAATGATCTATTCTTGTCAATATATTCTGCAGCTACCTGTATTGAAATGTTACGTGTTAAACTTACCGTCAAAAATACCGCAGGTACGAGTTGAAATCGTTTCAAATGTGAGTCGTTCCATCGTTTCCGCTTCTGAGACGCGTACGGAACAAATCGCAACTTTTCGGCCCTCTCCGTCCGTCTTCGGATAAGGATTAAATTATAGATAATAGCCGAGGATTTTCCCATTGGTACGGAACACTTCTGTTAAAAAGTCCAGTCTATCCAGTCTTAAAATCTACAAAATTTTTGACTGAATGGGGTGGGAGTATGGTGGGTTTGAACTTTTTTGTCGGTGCGCAATTCCTGTCACATTTCTTAAGATTTTTGTCCGATCGTTCACACTGTCCAGGCGCATGGTGTAAAAAGTCGAATTACGTATGAAAATAAATCGGTCAATGAATCAAGTACATTTTTAATTGCAGTCGCTTAACATTTTTACATTGTGTAAGAGAGATGTTCAAGCTTGGTTTGCTATTTTCTTATAAAGTATAGGTTAATCTGCATTAGTAAGCATGCAAAATTACTGTTATTGAATTTTGTAAATGCTGACCGATAAACATTTAGCTGGCAGTAGAAAATGAAAATGATTGCAGTTTTCATATAATATTACACAGATTATCATTCTTTGAAAGTAAATTATCATGCCTATGGTACTAGGGATAAGTGCAGTACGCATCTAAAGTCGGACACCGTGCAGTCAGAATAGAACTATAACGTTCTTAGTATTGCAAAACATTACACGCACGTGTAAAAACATGCTGATATTAAACCCATCACCACGTGCTGGAAACGAGAGTTGTTGGCCTTTGTCACCTGTATAGAACTAGGCATTCGGCAGCCTTGCACATTCGTGCAGCTGAATGTGCAGCTTGATCAGGTTCTATACATGTACTGTTAACAGCAAAGCAGCACAAGACCGTTACTTTCCTGTACGATTGCAATATAATATTTTCGTTAATCTGGATCTTATTTCATATATACTAGTAAGTAACATTGTCGTTGTAGTCCGTTATTAGTATTCTTAGATAAAACGATTTTATTACTGAGTTGAAATTGTATACGGTGTATATTTATTTCCTGCGCTCCGTTACTTTTTGCGGACAGTGTAATATTGGCGTTATCAACCCGGAGAGAGCGTTTCTCGTGAAAGGTTATCAAACGTTATATAGAGGGAAAAAAATCATACTCTTTCAGATATACGCCCAAGTTCAACAGGTGTTGTATTTCCTAGTCATTGATCGAGGCTACCTAGGTATGCTAACATAATGTATTCTTGTACCGGTGAACGTTATGATATCGGTATTAAAATATACGTTTATTAGCTACTGACACGGGCTTCGTATATTAATTTTCGTCGGCTTACGATCCAATGAATGCAATGATAGCAAATACTGTTATATGCACATTAAAGAAGATTTATAATCTACGACACGGAAGTTTTTTTTAAAGTACTATTTATACGCAGAAAATTCTTGCAATCGTTGAGGATGGGAGATTAAATAAGTCATTAAAACATAAATTTTTAGTAAAGAAATTATTAAAAAATGAATTTTATCCTCTTTTATATCATAACTCCCATGTTATGATGTTACTGGACAATTAATTCTTTTTGAATTGGATCCCTATTGCACTCTATCCGTATGTGCACTTTTCAATATTTAATTGTAAAGTTACTCTTTATATACGGAAAAGAAGTAAAAGTTATACATAGAGTAATCGACCTTTTTGCAAAATAGTCCAACCGTTCCGTAAAAAACTCATGCAGAAGTCACTCTCCTTTATAAGACTATACTAGACGACGGTTCGGTCTTTTACGCGAATACATAGTACCCGGCCATTATTGAGTAAGAAAAACAACAACAAAACCCTCGTCTATTTGAACAATTGCTAAAACATTTCAAGAGCTTTGTTGACAGACACCTTATGATTGTTTATTGCACTTGCAAGATGTAATGTTGTTTGTTTTTTTTTCAGGGAAAATTCGCATATTTCCATCTTCGGTGTCAATGCTGGGCAGGGAAGCAATAAGAGTTACGGGACCTTGTCTGACCTCAGAAAGCAACGTCACTGCACGCATCAAAGAATTAAATCTAACGCTGACCTGTCATGTGATACCGGACTTATCAGCAGTTTGTGTGACACCAACATTATTTAAAACAGGAGATTTTACTTTTGATTTTTTCCCAAACGGTGAAGAAGGCTTGCACTACTCAACGACTATCAGTAGTGGTAAGAGTCATCTCCCTTTTCTGGAAAACTTAAACTTTTACATATACATGGGTACAGTTTAGTAATATAAGGGTATATTTTAGAAATATTTATGTATATTAAATAGTAATATATGGGTATATTGTAGTGCTATATTATGGTAATAGTTGGGTACATTTTAGTAATATTTGGGTATATTTTACTAATATTTGGGTATATTTTAGCGGTATATTTTAGTAATATTTGGGTATATTTTAGTGCTATATTTTCGTAATATTTGCGTAAATTTTTAGTAATATTTGGGTTTATTTCAGTGGGTTTATATGATAGTAATATTTGGGTATATTTTATTAATATTTTTGTCTATTTTTGTAATATTTAATTTTATTTTAGTAATATTTTGGTATTTTTAGTGGTTATATTTTAGTAATTTTTGGGTATATTTTATAGGGTATGTTTTAGTAATATGTGGGTATATATAAGTGGATATATTTTAGTAATATTTGGGTATATTTTAGCAGGTATCTTTTAGTAATATTTGGGTATATTTCAGTAACATTGGGTATATTCTAGTGATATTTGGGTATATTTTAGTGATATTTTGATTCATTTTTGTAACATTTGGTTTTATTTGAAAATATATTAAGTTATTATTATTACTGAATTATTATTATTACTTTAAGTTGTTAAAGTAACTATATCTAACAATTAGTGCATTAAATGAAATGATATCAGATTTATTTTCAATTTGTAGATAAAGTGTATTGTCTCAGTTTATATCAATCAAGTTGAAAAGTTCATCAGATCATTTATCAGTGACTTAGTATTGTATCTTAATTTACCACTGCATGGTTAAATTGCATATGTACCATTTTCTTTTTACACCTGTTTAATACATATATATTAAAGGGACTCCACTGTGGATTTTTAAAATGATTGAACTGGATTTTAGAGATTTTTATACCATTCATTTATCAACCAATGACTTTTAGATGCATGTTGGTTGCTTTAATAGGCATTTTCATATCTATGTTTGTGTGGGGTTTGAGGTCAAATTGGGTCAAGATCAAGGTTTAACAATAAACAAACAAAAAATAACCCCAAAACCAACTTTTCACAGCCTTTATTTTTGGCTAATTCCTTAGATATTGAGTATTTAGGTACCTGAATTAGATTTCTATCCTTTGAAAATGTTTATTGCATATAGGGTCAAGGTAAAGTTAATGGCCTCTCTAAATCAAGTATTTTTCCTAGTATCAAGTGACTTGTATAATAATAATTATAATTCAAAGTGTTCAAGTTTTTCCAATGTTCATTACAGCGAAGTTCATTATAGATAAGTTTTATTATTGACAAGTTCTTTTTGGACAAGTTTATTATAGACATTGTATCTTAGCATCATTTTATATTTAACATTTTCTTTTCTGTGTATTCTAGGTAACATTATGAACATACAGCCTAAAATTGTACGGCAAAAAGTCTCAAAATGGGACTTGGGTACCAAAGTTTCTGTACAGTGGGAGCATAATTCTGCCCCTAGTCATAAAGCAAAAACACTGGAAGTTCTAGCTTATACGGTAAGTTTTATAAAACAGAAACAAATAAACAACACAAAAAACAACAACAACTGAATTTGGTTGTGAATTAATTTATTGAGTATTTCACAATTGATAATATAAATTTCATAATTTTGGATGTATAGTAAGGCAAGTAAGTGTATATTGATGTTTGAATATTACCTGTGGTCACAGTTTCAAGTCCAGTCACCAATTTGTCATTTTTTTCACGTTCTATGGTTTGAACTTTCGGTAACTTGCACTTTCCAGTACCGTCCATGAACAGGCTGAATCAAACCGAGCCTGCAACATTTTCAATTTTGCCGTGTTGGGCTTTCTTTAGGGATTCTGTATTTATCTATTTTATGATCACATCCGTGTTATTTGTGCCATGTGGCGGCTGTAAAAAGTCTCCCCGTACATCTAATCAATGATGTTATATTTTCGATCCTTGAAGATCGTTCAGCACGACATTATTGTTGTGCTTGTGGTATTTTTAGTTTCAACTTTTCGGCATTTTCTAGTTGGGTGGTTCCAATATTCCTACTTGAATAATGTTGAATCACCCCTAGGATATGTTGCCTGCTTTTTAAATTTGTCTTTTGACGTCTTATCTGTGATACGCAGGCTTCATAACCTCTGATCCCCTTTCAAAATTCCATTTTATTTAGTTCCGCCCATTGTTTTCTCGTTTGGGGCACACGCTTTTTATTACTTGGGGACCATATGCCGCTTTTCATGGAATGGCACGGAAGTGTCACATTGAAGGTTCCATGATAACCGCCGTATGAACACATCTGCGGATGTTTCTAAAATCAAAATTTTACTATTTCATGTTTAAATGTTGAATTCTGCTTAAGCCGGTGCTAGGGGGCGTGGACGGTAACTTGCACTTTCCAGTACCGTCCATGAACAGGGTCAATCAAACCGAGCCTGCAACATTTTCAATTTTGCCGTGTTGGGCTTTCTTTAGGGATTCTGTATTTATCTATTTTTTGAAGTAACATTGTTTGTAGCTCTTCATTAAGGTAGTGCGACTCTAATAATTTCGCGCCATAATATATCCCCATGAATATCTTAAATGGACTAAGTTAAGACGAGATAATTCTTGTTTATTTTTCAATTCTGATAAAACTATTCACCATTTTATGGGGAAAATTCAAAATTTAAAGGTTTCCTATGACTGAATAGTGAATGATGCAGACGGACGATCTTGGTCTGCACTGGTCACATGGTTAGAACCAGCAAACTGTCGGGGTTAATACTTTAGTTGTAAAGGGGGCTGATCTGTAGAGGTGATGCAGTATAAACATCTTACATGTAATTTCCGTCTCGTAAAATTGTCAATCTGTAAATACTCTACTTCAGTCCACTTTTTGAAACCTCTTTTAAAAGGCTATCTTGTTTAAATATTATCACTTAATAAAATATTGACTTTTGATGAGTCATCTTTGATCTCGTACTGTTTTATTTTTTAAACTTTTCCGGGACTACTTTATGTGTCAATAAGAACTACTTTATTATGTCAGTTTGCTACTTATTGATTTACAACAGCCATATTGAATTTAAAGTATGTTTGTATGTAACTTCAAGTTTTTACTAAATTGTTTTTTATCGATAACTACTCAAGAGCCTCTTAATATCCACTTTGAAAAATTATCTAACATTTCTATTAATGGTTTATTGGACCTGACATTGGCTTATGGTACATTGTCATTCACAAATGAAAAAGCTTGATGTGCAAGTTTAAATTACTAAAATGTTCATGAAACATAGAATAATAAGAAGAAAACTGAAAATAACCTATAAAATCCAACTTATTTTTTTCTGGTTGCACATAATTATATAGAACAAATCTTAAACAACTTGTAATTTCCTTTAAACTTCTATTCATTTAAAAAGTGCAGGAAATTCTTAATACAGCAGAATTTTCTTCCTTGTTTAATTTTTTTTAAAAAATTGTAAATTTAAAGCAGCAGCCTATATGAATTATATAAACATCATGATTATCCAATGAAAATCAGTGTTACAAACATAGTTACATTATTTCTAACAAACTGTGTACCGGAAATATTAACCTGCATGAGTTTATATCCTTTTTACAGAAATTTTCCATTTATTTTGAAATAAAAAATATATATATATTATATTTTTTTTATTTCAGTTGATGGAGAACAAGCCATTGTTTGTTACTTTACAAAATTATAGTGAAATTCTTACACAGACATTTAGTTTTAAATTAGTGTCTGATGAACAATTACAAACACTGACAGAAAAGTTTAATATATCCTCGGGAATCAGTACTCTAGTCATGAGGCTCTGTTGGATGGATGCAAATCATCCTAACATGTAAGTCATCTCTATATGATTTGTAAAAGTTTTAGACTCTACCATTTGATTAACTCTTCCTCTCTTCTGAGAATTGTTAGAATTTTATACTCTGTCCTTTTGAAATGTTTTAAATATATTGACTATTCATATCTCTGAAAAGTACATGTAGATCCCTTAAACACTTTACTTGCAGTGAGATATTTAGTTATAAACCTTTTCTATAAGTTTATGGTTAGAAAAAAGTTATTTGATTAGTTTAAATGTTAAAAACATTATTGAAAATATTATAACAAATGCTTCCATATGTGATTTTTTTATATGAATAGATTGTTTATTCAATTTTTTTTTTCAGATTGCCAGTTTGTATTTGGTCAGATGTGTTTCCGGTTCGGTGGAAGAGTTCAGATTCGAAACATTCTGAAGAATGGTGTACAAAGTGGTTGAATGATAATGAACAATCTAGAATTGTAGAAAGCCCGCCTAGTTGCCCGTGCATCGCATCAAAGGCGGAAATAGACTCTGGACATTTTCAGAGGGACCCATTCTGTGATATAAACAAATCTAGTGCAAAAATAAATACAAACTGTGAATATAACCCTAATGCTCATAAGTGCTATACAAGTAATTTGAAACGGTAAGATTTCTTTTTTTTAAGTACAAAATTTAGACCCCGCGACTTATAGAGGAGTCAGTCTTATAGACAAGTAAACCCCTAAATGTAAATGTAGTTACCCTCCTATGTCATTACAATTACATAAGTTACTTTCCTTGTCATTACATAAGTTGTGTCCCCTGACATTACATAAGTTGTTTCCCCTGACATTACATAAGTTGTATCCCCTGACATTACATAAGTTGTATCCCCTGACATTACATAAGTTGTGTCCCCTGACATTACATAAGATGTGTCCCCTGACATTACATAAGTTGTGTCCCCTGACATTACATAAGTTGTATCCCCTGACATTACATAAGTTGTATCCCCTGTCATTACATAAGTTGTGTCCCCTGACATTACATAAGTTGTTTCCCCTGACATTACATAAGTTGTATCCCCTGACATTACATAAGTTGTATCCCCTGACATTACATAAGTTGTGTCCCCTGACATTACATAAGATGTGTCCCCTGACATTACATAAGTTGTGTCCCCTGACATTACATATGTTGTATCCCCTGACATTACATAAGTTGTATCCCCTGTCATTACATAAGTTGTGTCCCCTGACATTACATAAGTCAATTTGTAACTGTCCATCATCAATTTTAGATATATCAAGATAAAAATATCACATCTGGTAAGCCAGCAGTAAAGAGCCGGGTCAAAGTGTATAAATGTGACACAGGCTAGTCAATGTTGGTTCCAGCACTGTAAAAGTTATAAAAAGAGAACTAGATCTATTGAAATATATGTTGTAAATATGAAGTCACCTTTCTTTTTTTTCTTATGATTATAAACATTTTATAACATTTTATTATTCAGTGATGGAAGTGGAAAGACATGTTGTTATAACGATAAGGGCAAACTGTTGGATGTGCGCGAGAATCCGGGGGCTGGCATTAACCAGCGGTACCACTATAGAGCTCAGGGCGACACCATAGTGCCTTTCTTTTCTTACTTCCAGTCAGATCTGCTACCCAGATTGCATTGCTGTCTGTATTCTAATACAAACTGTCGACGGTTTGTTGATTATAGGCCTGCAACATCGTGCCAAGGTTATACACCATCTAGTCCAGGTTTGTGTGTTTTTATAATAAAAAGTTAAGAATTTGGCTCTTGTTCACTGACAGTATATCATTAAAGAATAGCTAGAGTCGTCTTATAGAAAAGATATTGACTTATTGTCAATATTTCTGTCAATCAATAATCAATACACAAAAAAAATCAATAATTTGACAGATTAATTAATTGTTTAGAAATTATTAAAATTAAAAAAAAATCACTGAAAAAAACATATGCAGAAGCAGGTGCCCAGGTTTGAATATCAATGCCATGTTTTACAAAATGGACATACTCCATAGCAGTGATGACAAAAAAATGGTAAAAAAATATCATGCAATGAGCATTTATAAACAAGACACATTATAACTGTATGAACAAAACATTTACTTTAGTCTTTACTGACATCATTTAAACAGTTATGAAAGTGAATGACAGACAAGTAATTATAAGTAATAATTGATAAATCAGTGTATCATTGATATTTGTCATCTGATATCGATATATTGTTGATACGCTTTGCACTGAGACAGTGACAGCTTTTAGAGTAACCAATGTCTTTATTATTGCAAAATCATTATTATTCGTGGTGCACTAATTTTCGTGGATAGGTTAATCCACGAATTTAAGATCTAATAAAAATTCATTTCGTCTGCTGTAAGATTATTTTGCATAGCATTTTTTACATTTTACCCGAGGGAAAAATAAACAGTCCACGAATTTAAGTACCCACGAAAATGTTCTTTGTTACAAAACCATGAAATTTCATGTCCACGAAATTAAATGAATGCACAGTATATTCAAATTTCTGTTTAAATCAGAATTTATTTCAAGGGGTTTATTAACCCGAAGGAAAAAACTGGTTATTAGATTGAGGTATGTCGGCGGGGCGGGCGGATGGGCGGGCGGGCGGACGGGCGGGGGCGGGCGGGCGTAAACAATTTCTTCTGTGCGCAACTCCTCCTACATTTCTCAACGGATTTTGACCAAACTTTCACAGAAGCTTTGTCATCAAGTGCCCTGGCGCATATTGTCGGGGTTTTTGCGATTAGATAATATTTGACCTAATTATGGCCCTTTGTTTTTTTTCCTTATATAAAATATATAGTGAACAATTTCTTCTGTGCGCAACTCCTCCTACATTTCTCAACGGATTTTGACCAAACTTTTACAGAAGCTTTGTCATCAAGTGCCCTGTCACATATTGCCAGGGTTTTGCAATTGGTATATATTTGACCTAATTATGGCCCTTTGTTTTTTTTCCTTATATAGAATATATAGTGAACAATTTCTTCTGTGCGCAACTCCTCCTACATTTCTCAACGGATTTTGACCAAACTTTCTTAGAAGCTTTGTTATCAAGTGCCTGGCACATATTGTCGGGGTTTTGTTATTGGATAATATTTGACCGAATTATGGCCCTTTGTATATTTTTTCCTTATACAGAATATATAGAGAACAATTTCTTCTGTGCTCAACTCCTCCTACATTTCTCAACGGATTTTGACCAAACTTTCTTAGAAGCTTTGTTATCAAGTGCCTGGCACATATTGTCAGGGTTTTGTGATTGGATAATATTTGACCGAATTATGGCCCTTTGTATATTTTTTCCTTATACAGAATATATAAATACAATTTCTACAGTGCGCAACTTCTCCTACATTTCTCAATGGATTTTTACCAAACTTTCACAGAAACTTTGTCATCAAGTGCCCTGGCGCTCACTAAATTCCCATGTTTCTTCCAAGACATCATTCAAGTATTTTTTTAAAATTGTGAACATACTTTTCTTGATATCGCACAAAACACCACACGCCAATATTGTTGACAAAAGAAAATGACAAGAGACGCAAAAATGCAAAAATTAAGCAAAAATAAAGTACTGTTTACCTTTCTAAAATATTTGGGAAAAAAGGCGAATAGACAACATAAAATTTCTCAATCATTTTTGTTTGAGGAATATTAAAAGAGCCATAATTCCTCCTAAAAGTTCAATTAAAAACAAATGCCCCTTCATGACAAAGCTTCTGTGAAATATTTTGCTGAAAACCTGGTTGCATCGCATTGCGATGTTCCTTGTTTTTACACTAATTTGGCAAGTTAAATATTTTTAGGGATACATACTGATGAATGCAATTTGAGAAACCCTTGCACAAAATTTTTTATTAGGGTAGGGAAAGTTGCGGAAGGCGATTCACTAAACGGGAAAATTAATTTTTAAAAAGCTAACGGAGAAATTGAAACTTTAATCCTTTATGTACAAATGACATTGTTTGGTTTCAAGAATAGCTTTGTTTATATGAGTGAGATCTTGTCACTAATGTGTTACACATGACTGTTTTATTTCAAAACAACATGCTTTTAAGACAGAATGTCATTCCTCTACGAAAATGTTGAATATATTAAATATACAAAAAAACCTACCTACTGTTAAAACCAGCCGAATTTTTTTTTAAAAAAGGCTTGAAATTCTACATTAAGACTCTGTTTGACATTTATGATATGTTAATTTGAATGTTTTGTTGTTATGTTAGATTGAGATCTGTAAGTTAACCTTGTCAAAAAAATATTCCTCAGTAAAAACACACACACAAAAAAAACCCACTTTAAGATCCATCTGATTGAAAATTTGAGAGTCATAAAAATGTTCTATAAAATCCTTCATTTATTTACACTGTATGCATTGCACTTGTACTGGAATAACTCGTGCTTTTAAAGTTTTATAAAACTTTTTTACCAGTATAAATCACAAACAATCAGATATCATTGAGAAAATTTTAGGTCAGTTTTTTGCCAGTTTTTATTCATTTCTTCAAATAGCAAATGAGAGTGTCACAAATTTGGTTGTTTACAAAACAAGGAGGCTTGATTTTTGCTTGAAAACAAAATATATGAAAATGATTTTTACTGATTTTTAACTTTCAGGAGGTGATGAATTGCTTCCCTTTGATATATAGCCGTAATATTGTCAATATGATATGGGACAAAAACATATTACTGAAGTTGTATTTAGTTTTTACAAATGTAAATATTCATATTGGACCACGCCTATAATTATGGATTATTTGTACTTTAATGACAACAGTAAAATATAAACTTGTTGTTTTTGCTCTGTATGTAAGGGATGCCAGATTTTAATGTATGATTTAAATACAAATTTGTAACAGGTAATTGCAGTGTGAATAAAAATCAAATGAGTTGTACCATATTTTTCAAACATGTAAAAGCCCTCAGGTATTTTACAGCTGAAATGTGTTATTATATGTTTATTTGTATATTTTACATACATCATACATGTAAACTCTCCCACTTTTAGTGGGAGACTCCCACTTTCTGCAGCCATATTTTCAAAGATTTTTCCTAAAGTAAGGGGTATTTTCACAATTTAAAGACATCTCCCACTTTTTGATGTCAAAACTTTCTTCTTTTTTTATTGCAAATTTTAAAATCTCCCTCTTTTTGAAGAAAAATCTCCCACTTGATCATCGAAAAAAGTTCACATGTATGATTTTACAGCTGAAATGTGATATTATATGTTTATTTGTATATTTAACAGCTTATATATGAAATTAAATGTTTGTTTGTATATTTTACAGCTGATAAATGATATTATATGTTTATTTGTATAATTTACAACTGATATGTGATATTGTATGTTTGTTTGTATATTTTTTATTGTACAGCTGATATATGTATATGATATTATATGTTTATTTGTATATTTTACAGCTGATATATGATATTATATGTTTGTTTGTATATTTTATATCTGATATTTGTTTATTTGTATATTTTACAGCTGATATATGATATTATATGTTTGTTTGTATATTTTATATCTATTTATTGTACAGCTGATATATGATATTGTATGTTTGTTTGAATATTTTACAGCATGTTGGTTTGTATATTTTACAGCTAATATACGATATATATATATATATGATATGTTTGTATATTTTACAGCATGTTGGTTTGTATATAATTTACAGCTAATATACAATATATATATATATATGATATGTTTGTATATTTTACAGCATGTTGGTTTGTATATTTTACAGCTAATATACGATATATTATATGATATGTTTGTATATTTTACAACTAATATACGATATATATATATATATATGATATGTTTGTATATTTTACAGCTAATATACGATACATGTATATATATATGATATGTTTGTATATTTTACAGCTAATATACGATATACAATATATATGATATGTTTGTATATTTTACAGCTAATATACAATATATATGATATGTTTGTATATTTTACAGCTAATATACGATATACAATATATATGATATGTTTGTATATTTTACAGCTAATATACGATATACAATATATATGATATGTTTGTATATTTTACAGCTAATATACGATATACATATATATGATATGTTTGTATATTTTACAGCTAATATATGATATACATATATATATGATATGTTTGTATATTTTACAGCTAATACACGATATACAATATATATGATATGTTTGTATATTTTACAGCTAATACACGATATACAATATATATGATATGTTTGTATTATTTTACAGCTAATACACGATATACAATATATATGATATGTTTGTATTATTTTACAGCTAATACACGATATACAATATATATGATATGTTTGTATATTTTACAGCTAATATATGATATATATATATATGATATGTTTGTATATTTTACAGCCCAGGCCGCGGGCGATCCTCATCTTGTGACCCTGGATGGCAAGGATTATTCTTTCAACGGGGTTGGTGATTATTATCTAGTCACTGATGTTAACTCAACTATTGTGATACAGGTCAGGGCGGAGCCAGCAAAAGACAAAAATGGTAAGGCGGACATCTTGAAACAAAATTCATAATTTTGATATTTTATAATTTTTATTTAATATGCACTTTTGTAAAATAAAAACAATGTGATTTTGTGACTAATTCAGCAATGCTTTTGTTAAAATTACTATCAGCTTTTTATAAAGATAATTATCTTTTTTACATTTGAATTTTTTCTTTAACACAGACCAACATTTTAAGTGCTGGGTGTTTGAATGCATTTACTATTAAACAAAGGGGAATAACTGGAGTTATAATATTGGCATGTATGTAGTGTTTACTCCCCTTTATTTAAAAAACTACCCATACTCAGTAGCTGATATAAATTTTGCCTGAAAGTTGATTATGAAACATAAATATATCTATTTTAAGGTGATCTACAAAACGCTACAGTATTCAGCAATATTGCCGTGGCCATGCCACAAGTCAGTGATGTCATAGAAGTGAGAAAATCCGAGGAAGGTGCCGAGGTCCTTGTAAATAAAGTACCCATAACTCCAACCCAATCTACTACCTCACAGTTTAAAGGTATATCTCCTGCGATATCTGTATTTTTCGACATATCTAAAAAAAATTCTTTGTCTGCATTAATTTTATATCTGATGTTGAACTTAAATAATTATAATTTTCTTTTGTGACAGAAAAGATTTTACGTACACATTGCATTAATTTTGTTTGTTGAACTGAGTGTTGAACGTTGAAGTTTAAAATACACATGGCAGCTCATTTAAATATTTAAATGCATTGTTTATAGAGAGGCATCCATAATTGGATAGTATATCTTCTTCCGTTCTGTTTTTATAACAATTGATGATAATAATACATGTACATTATTTGTATATCTATATTACGGGCACCTGACTAGAACCATCAATGTTCTGTAAGTTGGATAGCTTTCTCATATGAATGAGTCTGAAGACACTTGCATGGCTCTAAACATACAGTGGTGCCAGGCAAGTGGTTTGAAGTCAACGGCCTTAACCATGTTCTCGGTGATAGATGCTACATTTTCTTATTAAATAAAGTGACAGTTATTTTGTAAATTATGAGATAAAATTGCACAGAATGGGAAAAGGAATGTATGCTTAATTACCTACATACTTGTAGACTAGTACATTGTACATACCAGTTTATTGTTGCGTATTTACCGATCTGATTTAATTGTTTTTCAGATATTTCACTATTACATAACGACGATGGCAGTTACCTAATTGTGCTGGAACCAATCAGTGTTTCTGTTACAGTCGAGGTCACGCCAGATCTTCTTAACATCATTGTCCTCATTGGCGAGGATTCATTAAAAGGTACGCTAGTTTATAATCTCTAAAATAAAGATTCTAAAATGAAGATTCATTTAAAGGTGCGCTAGTTTTAAATCTCTAAAATGAAGATTCAGTAAGAGGTACGCTAGTTTCTAATCTCTAAAATGAAGATTCTAAAATGAAGATTCATTTAAAGGTGCGCTAGTTTTTAATCTCTAGAATGAAGATTCAGCAAAAGGTACGCTAATTTACAATCTCAAAAATGAAGATTTACCCGACTTACCTTCTCTTTTTAGATAGGGATTTTCGTTACATATCAGCACTGTTATTATTCATCACCTTAGTGCAGTAATGGGTTAACTCCTTATATGATATAATAGGGAGTTAACACTTTACTGCATTGAGGTGAAGATATAATATCTTTCTAGTTTCATTTGTGGAGAATGACCTTAGATGCATTTTTATACATTATTGCATGCTTGAGTTGGCAGCCGAGTAGAAACAGAAACTTTTTCTAAGTTATCTAAACAGCTTCCTTATATGAAAGAATGCCTAGCCTTCTGGTTTGCCATTCCAAGCTCACTTTAAAGGAACTCCACTGCGGTCTTAAAGATAAAATTTGAATTTCTTTTAAGATCCACTGCAGCACTTATAACAGAAAGAAATGCAAGAGAGAGATACAATGTACATTTAAAAAAAAATTCTTGAGAATAGGCATGCTGCTTTAATCTGTGGATAAATATTCAAATATAAATTCTGATCCAAATCCCCATCTCTTTGTGTACATGATACCAGGCTTCTAAATTTGGGCCACAATCTTCTGTTCAATATCAATAGAGTCACTTTCTTTTCCTTTATTTCAGGGAACTTGCTCGGATTGTTGGGAAACTATAATGGCGACCCTAACGATGACTTTGTTTCTAGAAATGGGACAGTATTAGCGTCAACCTCCTCCATGAAAACCATTCACTTTGATTTTGGACTAACTTGTAAGTATTTGAGTAGTTATACTGATTATAGGATATAACAGAGAATGTATAGTCGGAGATAGACCAGAGTCGTCACGTATGGCTTTATCTGCTGAAACATTTTGAATACTTAGGTAGCCTTGCTTTGAAACTGGAATAGTCCATGGATTTTGTTATCAAAGTACAAAAATTGAGCTCCCAACCATGTAGAGCCGGGCTAGACTCACAGTCACAGTATAGATATGCAATATAAATTGCTACAGTTTGCTTGGTAAATCGAGGGTTGACAGCAAAACTGTATTAACTCTAATGAAATAAAGAAGGACTTACAACTGTTTAGCAGTAAGCCCTCAAAAAAAATAAAAATGCACATTGAACAAAAGACTGTTGCCCTGCACAGAGATATACATGAATATGTAAGCACCCACAGACAAACCAATGGTAATTATATGTACATTTCACAGAGGATTCAATTTTGTAAGATAAGATAGGAACTGCCTAATGCATAAGATAGTTCCAAAAATGTCCATACTCTGTAAATCCATTTTATTGTAAAAGTAAATGGTAAGTCACATGTTTTCATTTTATGCTACAGGGGAAGTAACTCGGGCAGAGTCTATTTTAACATCACCAACTGAGAAACAGTGGGATGAAACCTCTTTCCAAACTATCTTTCCTGATGAACTTAAAGACCAGGATTACAGAAATGGTACATATGATATTTGCGGAACAAATAAACAATGTGCCTTTGATTTACTCGTCACAAATAAAGAATCAGTGGCAAAAAGTACGGCATCATTCACAAATAAATTTGAAGCCATGAGACAAACGCTGGATGAGATAGGTAAGCCTATAAAAAATACCTTTTAATTTTTAATTTTAATACCTTTTGTATCATACAGAACAACCTTTGAAGAGTGATACACACTGTAAACCAATTGAGCTGTGTCACGACAAAACCAACATAGTGCGTTTGCGACCAGCATGGATCCAGACCAGCCTGCGCATCCGCGCAGTCTGATCATGATCCATGCTGTTCGCTTACCAACTCTATTACAAGTAGAGAAACTGATAGCGAACAGCATGGATCCTGATCAGACTGCGCGGATGGTCGCGCTGGTCGCAAACCCATTATGTTGGTTTTGTCATGACGCGGCTCAATTATCTCTTTACAGTTATATACCCACCTGCCCCTCACCGCTGTGGGTTCGAATCCCGACAGGGACTTTAGATTCTTTCATGTTAGAAAGCTATCAAGCTAGCTTACGGAACGTTAGTGTTTCTACTCAGGTGCCCATTCGAGCCTGAAATAATGCTTGGAAAGGCACCTGAGGAGTAAAACTTGTATATAATAAATTTAAAAAAAAGAGGAATGAACCTTATATATATATATTCTCCTGTTTTAGATCCAAGTGTCTAACTGTTTTTTTGCTTGAATTGTTGCTGGCGAGACTGCCATTGCATATACATGTGTAACTGAATTCAATGAAATGAATTTTAAAGTGTTTTATTTTACCATTTTGCTAGTTGTACGCTGTCCGTACCTTGAGATACCTACAAACGGAAACAAGACACAAACTGATGACTCGGAGGGAGCTATAGCTACGTTTACATGCGACCCTGGTTATACGATGACTGGAACAGCGACGCGTGTTTGTCAGAAAAACAACACATGGACAGGTTCTGACGTAATGTGTGCCAAAAGTAAGTTTCATTTTGTATCTTAAATGGTATATATTTTATTCTTGTATATACATTAAAGGGACTCCACTGAGGTTTTTTGATATGACGGGACTAAAAATAATTTTTAGAGACTTATGTAGGTCTATACCAACAACTTATGTGCAAAATTTCAGATCATTAGCTCGCTCCGTTTTTCCAGAATAATTATTCTAAATGTGAAAAATGACCCAAAATTGAAATGCATTGCAATGTTTTTCACTCAATCGCACAAACATACAATTTTCAGTGTATTTCTGAGTAAATTTCTTATATAGTTAGTTAAAGTTAATTTGAAATATTTATGGTGCAAAAACCTGCAAATTTTGCACCAGAAATATTTGAAAATATGTAAGCCAAAAAATTACACTTTGAATGCCTTTTTTCTTTTGAGACTTTTTTAGGTTGTATATAAATCCCTTTAACAGCTTTAAAAAGAAAATAAAAAATCATTACATTTTTGTGATATTTTGTTTCCAGAAATCACAGATTACGGTGATGAATATTCAAATAGCATCATAATAATTGCTACAGTGTCGGCGTCAGGTGGCGTAGTGTTGATACTTATCGTCAGTGTTGCTGTGTATTGTATGAGAAGGCGGAGGAAGTCAGTCGTTAAAAGGTACGAATATTATAATAAACGTAATGAGCGGTGTCAAGACAAAACCAACATAGTGCGTTTGCGACCAGCATGGATCCAGACCAGCCTGCGCATAAAATAAAAATAATAATATTTTTTTAAAAAGGGGGTTAAAAACGTAACATTCTGGTGTTTAAGCCCATGACTCTCAGTTTTAATGCAGTTGACAGTAATTCTAGCTATTGGATGTAAACAATAATTGCATTAATTTTGTATAAGAATAAAATGACTGTACATGTATATGAATAAAATGAAACTTTTCTCTTTATTTGCAGCCTCTCTGACACAATTGAAATGTCAGAGTTCAGTAACATTCCAGTGTTTCAAAATCCTGCATTTATGAAAAAGTAAGTAAAAATTATTTATTCTTAATTGCAATCAACCAAAAGCAAAATATACAGTTTTATACACTTCTAGGCTTAACAGTGTTATACTTGAAGAAAAATAAAGAAATAAATTATGTGTAAAAAATGGAAGATAAATATACAACTACATTAAGTTTTGTTTAGTTACCTGAATTCACAATACATATTTTAGTGTTCATCCATGCTGTTCTACAGAAATTAGAAATTTCGACAGGAGCAATAGCAACAGGAGAATGTTTCTAATTTCTGTAGAACAGCTACGGATGAATACTAACATACTTAGTGTCAATCTTTATTTGGCCTCATTAATTTTTACTTTATTACGTCACTATGCGGTTCTATGAAGCACTTTGAAAAATAAAAGATGACTATGAATGGAATTTGATATAGTATCAATATTTTTTTCTTCTATGAAAATTAACACGCTGAATTTATGAGAAATACAGCGTTTTCATTGGATGACACATAAAGCTGGACACTAAAGTATTACATTGTCATAATTTATCTAATTTTGATATTTTATGTTTTAGATTACAAGAGACCGTTGCAGAAGGACCATTTAGGATACCCCGACCGAAATATGCCGACCCGAGCATATTCGTAGATTATTTCTGAAACAGATCAATCGTACGGAGAAAAGGAAAATTACTTTCATTTGTAAGTGCTACTAATAGGGGCAAATTGAAACTTCACAAGTTTACTTTAGATGGCATGACTTGAAGTATGTGAATCAAACATTGCTCTGGACAGAGGTGTGCTAATTTTTTAGATTTTTCAGACGATGGAATATATAATCAAGGAAATTATTAATAAATAACGTCTGTAAAAGTTGTTGGAAAAATGCAAAGAGGAGTTTTAATATATAAAACTAGATTATAGACTTAAAATCGGCCTCTGAACTGAAGGTGTATATGTTGAGTGATTGAACATGATGAGATTATGGTGATATGAAAACATTTTGGTGCTTTTAAAGTCTCATTAGGGTGATTAAATGATGTTTTATGGTGATTTAAAAGTGCCATTTGAAAAAAAAGAATGCATTTGGGTGATTTGATTTTCAGATTTCAACAATAGAAAAAATGAATTGCATCCATTGGTAAAATAGTAAATTTTAAAGGGATTTATATGAAGATGTGAAACAAATATAGACGCTGAAGTTATCTCGAAGTGCTGTTATTTGTTTATTTGAGAGGTAACTTGACCTGAAATTATTGAAGTGCGAATAACCATTAATATATATCAGTGGAAGATTACAATTTCAACTTATTCATGTGCTTTTGGATGAATGAAAATCTCATTTATAAAAATGGCACGATGATAGATTCACGTTTCTTGACAAGTTGGATGGATTATGCTACGCAATTTTGAAACCAGTTTGAAAATGTACCAAACAAAGTTAACTGTGGTGAAAATGATTGAAAAGAAAACATACAAAGAAACAAACGCAAAATTGCCAAATATAAGTGTCCTAGTCAATGGAACCAGCATTTCGTATTCATTTCAATATTTTTCCCTTACAATTTATATGCAATATATATAATGTATATGAGCTAATTCTGGTGATTTGGGTCCTTGTTGAGTTGGAAGTAAGGTCAGTGTTTTGATTTTTGGTTTGAGTGACATCATCATTAATACTGTCTATGAACATTCCTTCGGAGGTTTTCATAAATCTGAGACACAATTTAAAGGGAAAAGTTCCCGCGTTATTGTTTTTTTCAAATCGTCTGCAAACGCCACAATTTAGACCTGTTGATGTTTGAGAAAGGGTACTTTTTTTGTACATAGAAAACAATTTATAGATAAGATTTGGTTTAAAATATTTATTGCATGTCAATTGTGAAACAAGTTCTTGCAACTTTTATAAATCACTTTCAAGTCCGCTTCCTGGAACCACACAGTACTTGTGTCATAATTATAAAGAAACATCATTGTGACCCAATTAGAAATTAAAAACAAATAGACCTCAGCTGATATGGTCCCAAATTGCTAGATGTGGTTCATGCTGTATTTTTTTTGCATATGCATGTGAATGGGATGTGTAGCGTTCCATACTTTATGTTTATTTAAAGATATTCCTTCTATAAGCATTTTTATTGACGTCTTTATTTTTGTCGTTTAACTGACTGAAAGCTCATTAAAGATTGTTAATGACCATTCTGTAAGTATTTATCTGTGCAGACTGACCAGGCTCTACACTAATTGGTCGATTTACTTTAAAATTTTCATCTTGATATCCCCAAAAATTGATAATGGACAGTCCCAAAGATGAAAGTTGGACAAGTCCATTAAAGAAATTCAGCAAGTTGAAGGTCAGTCTTATATGTTACTACAATGCAGGAATAAAATCAAAAATTTGGATCTTTTGATCATTGTAATCATTATAAGGGAACACAAATTCATGAACCTTTGTCAATTTTTCACAGATTCAGTATTGTTAAACAACAGTATAAAGTATATGACCTGGTCCGGCTGCTTTAACATATCTACTCTTCTTAGTAAAAAAATTATAATGAACTCTTTCCACAAGGATTTAAGCTGTGTACAATAATTCTTATATCACTACAGATTTACTATTTCATTCATATAAAACAATTCATAATGATAAAAGTTTCATAATGATAAAAGTTTAGTCTCAATTTCAAATATTTCACTGTCCATAAATCTTGAAGCTGTTCATTAATGTTTTTTTTTAGCAGGATGGAAAATTTTGCAATTAAACCCCAAAACCAAAACAATTCAGATTAATTGGTAAGATAAAACATATGGGAATTTTCTTTTTTAGTTCTGTTAAATTTCATATATACATGTAGTTAGATAGGATAATTCATTTTTGTGAAAATATCAAATTGGCCAAATTTTGTCCTTCACAAAAGTTCCTGATTTTGTAACAGTGTTGTTAGTATGGAACTGTGCACATTACATTTACAGTGAGCAGTGAGTGATATACAGTGAGTGATATAGATTTTATATTTCACATATAAATCTCAATATTTCAGTAATTGTCATGAAGTAGACCTGAACAAAATGTAAATCGGTGTGTTTTAGTCAGCTTGTACAACAGAAGAACTACAAAATTTGTATATTTATTGTTTATTATGTTGTCCTTACTTTGCCATATTGTTTTTCACTTACCCTGCAGTATATTGTGTAACAGAGTTGCTCCCCTTTGTATTTTGAACTTGTGAGATTTTTGGTATGAAAATACAAAGATTGAGTTGCCAAAAGTATGGAGCCTGGTGGCACCCTGCACAGATGCTCGTACCTAAGCCTGGCTCTATACTGGTGGCAAGGGGTGATCTTTTTCAATTTCTGACGGTTAAAGAGAAAATACAAGATCGTTTACACAACTTTTACATGATTAAATTTAATTAAGTATGTACATGTATAATGTAAGGCCAAAAGAAGCAATGTTGTTAGTTTTTTTTCTCTCTTCAAGTTGCTGCATTCTCTCTAATAATAATAAATACAGCTTATTTACTTATCTTTTCATTTAATTTTTTTTTAAAAACACAGTTAATTTACAGAAATTGTTGTCATGTTTTTCAAAACTCTTTATTTATTTTTTTTTAAAAACAGCAGCAACAACATCAAAAAGTCAACATGAAACAGACATTATTTCATTTGGCCTTTAAAAAAAATGGTCTCATTTATTTTTGTGTAATAACAAAACAAAAATGTGTAATAGAATGATACTGGTGCTTAAGCAATATTGGTGCCTTTTATGTCATTATGTGCGTACATAAATGTACATAAATGTAAAAATGTGTAAACAAATGTAAATTAGTATATGCGTTTATCAAAATGTGTAAAAATGGTTATATGTGTTATTGTCAAATATACTAGGATTTACATGTTAAGGTCTCTAGTGTGTAGTATATGTATTGATATATATCCGAAAAATACACGTGTAAAATTTTTAAGGGAATGCTTTTTCTGTATATTTTGTATAGAAGAAATAACACATGCGTTTCATTAATGAGCAAATGGAAAAATACCAATGAACAAATTCTGTAAAATATCTTCATTTTTTGTTACAGTTTTACGAAATTTGTGAAACATGAATGGTTGAAATGTTTTTTATTTATGAAATAATATGTTCAGCAAACCAGTCTTGCCATGTTACCATAGTAACAGAATTATACATGTGAGCCACGCAATGACAAAACCAACATGGTGGGTTTGTGACAAGCATGGATCCATGCTGTACACTATCAGTTTCTGTACTTGTAATAGGGTTTCTAAGCGAACAGCATGGATCCTGATCAGACTGCGCGGATGCGCAGGCTGGTCTGGATCCATGCTGGTTGCAAACGCACTATGTTGATTTTGTTATGACACGGCTCATGTATGTGCATCCGAGACATTATGTTTTGGACTAATTTTCATTCATTTTGATTACTCACCTGCTGATTTTATAAAAATGGACTTTTCCAGCTTTTCTTTTTGGAACTGTCTGTTATAAATTTTTGGGATATCAGGATTAAGTTTCAAAGTTTGTCAACCAACAATATAGAGCCTGGATTTGTCCAGTCTGGGCTGGCAAAGACTGGATATTTCCAGTTATGTTCCCACCAGTGTTAGGGTTGTTCAAGCCATTTGAACAATGTTAAAAATTTCTCTTTTTTTTAACCATTTATTTTCCTATGAAGAAGGAATAACAGAAAATGTCAAATAAATCACTATCTCTGGTCAAGACTATAGTTAATTGTTAAATGACAAATTACATATTAAGGTCTTCTTAAAATATGCTTCTTGTGTTACAAGTTTTAAATCTTTTAAATTTCATTTGGTTATCAAAAATTCCACAATAAATATGTATGAAAAAAGGTCATGTTTTTTGTATGGGTTAATTCCCTTTATAGCATGTACATAAACATGTATATACATATACAGAAGGTTCTTCTTGATTTCTAAGCGTTCTTTTTACAGACACGCTAACATTTTTATCTCATTTAAATTTAGATTTAAATTTAAGTTCTTTTTTTATTAAAACTTTTATAGATGTATATGAATAGATATTGTGAATATCAGAACAAATAGAACTGAAAATCATTGGTTTCATTTTGTGTCACACATTCTGTTGTTTTGTACATGCAAGTTTGTCATATGAGTTATTCGAACAAAAAGCACATATAATATTTTTGTAATTAATTTTCATAGTCAGAAATGTTGGTCTAATTATAGTGCCATTTAAAACACATATTTATATTTATTTTCATATTGCAAAAGTGCAGTTGCCTAAATGGTAGATTATATACAATGTTTTTTTTTGTAAAGTGGTGTACTGCATACTGTGTACACTGGTGATGTACTAATTTGTACACTGATAAGGTAAACATTTTGTGTACACAGATAAGGTAAACATTATGTGTACACTGATAAGGCAAACATTTTGTGTACATTGATAAGGTAAACATTTTGTGTACATTGACAAATTAAATATTTTATGTGCACAGATAAGGCAAACATTCTTTGTACACTGATAAGGTAAACATTTTGTGTACATTGATCAGGTAAACATTTTGTGTACATTGATCAGGTAAACATTTTTGATAATGGTACCCTCTACCCATTTTTGTGTACCACACATTTTGGCACAAGAAAAGTGTACACATTTTATGTACATTGACAAGATACTAAAACACTAAGCACTTATAACTATGGGAAAGAAATGGTAATACACTTTATATTGTATTATCTTACAGAAAAAAACATTTTTGCTTAAATTTTGTTGCAGGACTTTAAAAATATTGGAGCAGATTTAACTTTTCTTAAATAGTCTGCTTAAAAAGCAACTTAACAATGTGAGCTTTGATTATCTAGACATGTCATTTAACTTTTAAAATATTTAATTTTTAATTAATGGTACCTACTGTCTAGTATATATGTATATGTTCATCATCTCTTAGTTTTCTAGATATGTTTGGTTTTACTCATTGTTTTTCCTCATTTTAAATTCATTTTATTTTTTTTTTGGACATTGTTTCTTTTTTGTCATTTTAGCATTTTAGACTGTCACTAATTCGTTTATATGTGTATACATCAGATGTAAATATTTGTTTTATTATGTAAAGTTCATCCAAATTGTTAATATTTGAATATTTCAACTATTTGTTATTATTTATTAAGTGACACAATGAGAAAATTAAAAGATTACAACTTGCCACTGTGTAAAGTGTTTATTTGACGTATTAAGGTACATGCATGACCACCCTAACGGACACTATAAAGAACTGAGAAATTGACAACATAGGTCAAATATATACATTAAAGGAAACCTGTATGCAAAATCTAAACAAACTTTACCGTATGGAAATCAAGTTAAGGCCACTTTTCTAAACTTCAGCTTGACTGTTGAAAGGGCCCTTTTTTCAAAAAGGAACCTTTAAATAATCTACAATATCATCCTTAT